GTGCCCTAGGAGGCATGGTCTTACCACCACCACCGCCCCACCCCTCCCACCCCCCCGTTTCTCTCTGATTCCCAGCCTCCGTGATGCGAGCCACTCAGTTCCACCTCTCCCTCTTCACCCTTATGCTCTGCCTCATCACGCTCCTCAGCAATGGCGCCATCCAGTCATGGAGGGAAACTCCTGAAGCTGTGAGCCAAAATAAACCTTTCCTCCTTTAAGCTAGTTTTCTGGTATTTTGTCACAGTGACAAAAATCCAAACAACATAACCTCCATCTTGTTAAATCACTTGATTTTTTTTTTTTCATTTGGTTTTATGGCCCATGAAGAAGAAAATGTAGTCGCTTTTTTTTTTTTTCTGGAGAGTTAATGCCAAGACGAACCATAAGAACTTTGAGGAAGATAGCATGATATACCTGTTGCCGTGCTTTCACCAAATTCCATCTTATTTTGCCCTGCCTGGGCACACAAAAACCTACGTTACTGAGCCTCCACCATATTGAGTGCCTATGGCCAAGGGCTGGCTTGGATTGTGGACAGAAGCCATGTCCTATTGGGCCTTAATCCCTCTGTCCAATTCTTGGTGGCTTCCTCCTTGTGGTCCAGATGGCAGGATCCTAGGTCTCCAAGACACACTCCGTAGGTAAGATAGTTGGAGGGCCCATCTCCCACTGGAACAAGATTGAGACACGCCTTTGTGGGACGCTGAGTGAGATGTGGGAGTCTGACTGAGAATATCACAAAACTCCTGTTTGAGTAAAACTCCCCATTTCTACTTGAATTAATGAACCAAAACAGATTATTGAAAATAGAGAACACATACAGACCACGGAGATTTTTGTTTTTCTTTTTTAGAAGTTAGTAAAATATTCAAATATTCTCACCACATGAACTTTAAAATCTACATATTTGTTTGGCATAAACATATTGAAAGGGAGTGAAATGGGGAAAAATGGGCCGCTATTCTTTCAGCTTAATGTCACATCAGCACAGGAGAAAACCCTTCAGCTAGAGGTATGATTGCACAAAATTATCTTTCAGCATTAACAGAAACATTTTAGCCCAACAATCTATTACTCTAAAGTAAACACCTTCCTGAGTTAATTGGTTTTCCACCACCATAATAAAATACCTGAGGTAGTCAACTTGTAAAGAGAAAAGGCTTGTTTGGGCTCACACTTTGGGTGGTTCCTGTCCAAGCCTAGGTTGCTTTGGGCCTCTGGCGGGCAAGCCAGATGGCAATGTGGGGCACTAGGTGCAGGAAACGGCTTGCCCTGTTGTCAGGAAGCCAGAGAGGAAGAGGAGGAGGCCAGGGTCCAAAAGTCTGCCTTGAGGTCACCCCTGGTGACCCAAAGACCTCACCCTGGGTCCTACCTCTCAAAGTGTCCACTACACCACTGCCGAAGTCTGGCTGGGCACAATTCAGGAGCCACTTGTCAAAAGAAATGAACTTTATTTTTAGAACCACACACGCCACACCACACAGCTCTTCAGGAAAACCCTCAGAGCCGAATTGCCACCACCGGCTTCCCACAAGCCTCTCAACCTCCCCTACTCCTCCTGCACTTGAGGCCGATTGGCTGAGTCGCGTGGACGGAGCCAAAAAAAGTCCCCCAATGAGCAGCTCCGTGGTCTGAAAGGGCGGGGAAACAGCCCAATGAGCATCACCGCAGAGGAGCCAATCAGTTGGCAGCTAGAATTTTGCTGGGGCCGCTGTGAGCCAATCATCAGCTGGCAGCTGGAAGTTTGCTGGGGCCCCTTCGGCTGTGGCTCTCAACACACCACCATGGGGACCCAGGCCTTAATATTGGGGCCTTAGGGGGACATTAGCATTCTAATTCTAGTGACAGACAGACCCTAGTTTTCAACATAGAAGTTTATCCAAAAAATCAAAAAGAAGAAAAAGTGTATGGAGGGTCCTTAAGATGGAGACTTAGGAACAATACCCACAAGATCCACACTCACTCTGTCACTGTAAGGGACTCTCTGAGGCATGTCGAGTGACCTCTGGGGTTCCTAATGCCTACCAAGGTTCATCTCCGTAGGTCGTACTGCATCATTTAATCAAGACCCGTTTCTCTTTCACCCGAAGGTCCAGGAGAGGAGCAGTAAAGATGGAAAGATAGTGTGTGTTCATCCAAATGCCGCAATGTGGAGCCCCAGCAGTGGGGACAGTCTGACACAATTCCTATGTGCAGACAGCCTGCAAGGCGGGCCCAGGGCAGAACACAGCCCAGGTGCACAGGAGCTCCTCCGCAGGTCCCCCCACCAGTCCTGAGCACCATGCCCGTCCTGGGCAGCGAGCACCTTTAACTTGCCCAGAATACATACCCTTTGCCCTGACAGACGGGAGAAAGCATCTTTGTAACAAGGAAGGACGACGAACAGAGAGACAGATTGTTAAAACAGAAGAGAATGGGTTTGAAGGTTCAGCTGGAATCCCATCTGCCGCTTTCTGCCAACTCTAACTGGGTAAATCATTCCACCAGGTGAACTTCAATTCCTCAGGTACAGACACCTTTGCTGTGTCACCGCTCTGGTCTGCAGGTCTTCAGCTTGACGTGGGCCCCAGCAGACATATCAGGGTGAAGGAGAACCAAAAGGTGCTGGCAGGAGCCTCCCTTACCAAGATCCTGGGGAGACTGGATGGGAGGCCCCCCAAACTTTAATTGCTGAGTGTCTTTGCAGACACAGCCCCTCAAGCTATTTATTAAACCACTGACACATTTTGAAGAAACGCAAGGCGACACAATCCTGTCTGGTTTCATGACACCTTATTTGCTCCAACCAGCTCTAAGACTCCATCCTAAACCAATTGCCTCATTTGGCAAGAAACCTGCAGCACTTCCCTCTCATAGGCTAGCTGCAGAGGGGCCGGCTTGTCCCAGCTCTCTCTGATGGGGCATGCATGGCGTGCTGGGACCGCGGGCAGGCTCAGAATCCTGCCCACTGAGCACACCTGGGCAGGAGGAGTGAGAGAGGTGACCCTGGGGCCAGCAACGTGGCAACCACTGCTGTCCTCGAGGTGAGACTCTGTGAGGCCAGACATACAGGCAGTAGGAGTTCAGGAGGGACACGGACACTTCCCCCTCCCCTGACTCGCTCAATCCTTCTACTTCTAGTGACAAGCATACATTTTTTACATGGAAAGAAAAATACCAAGTTATAAAACATTCTTTCATCCCTATTACAATAAACACCAAATTCAGGGGGCAAAAAGTACATGATTTTGTAGCCTTTGAAACTGCTAATACCCTAACCCTCTCCTTGGAGAGCGGCTCAGGTTTAATTTTGTTCTCATGTGGAATTCAGGCAGGCTATCACGCACTGCTCTGAGAAGATTCATGAATATGAGGCTGTGGTTCAAAATACTGCTATTAAATTAGTTTAAAATAAGTTTTGCCTTGATATTAAATTGAGAATGCTAAAATAGAAATATGGGGAAAAGAGAGTCCACGAGAATTTAGTTTCGGGGGATGTTTTGGTCTGCTCCTTCACATGCTTGTGTCTCTGGTTTCCTGCCAGCGGTGGGTCTGGTGGGTGGGGAGGGTGCTTGTTTCCTGGGGACCCCTGGTTGGACCCCCATTTGAAAGTGCCACAGAACACTGAAAAGTAAGACTTTTGTCCAGCTATCTGACTTTCCAGGTCAGATACCAAAACAAAACATCAAAGGGCATTTTAGAGATGCCTGGCTTCAGGGGAAAGCATGTATGACATTCCTAAATGGTGATGGGTTTTGAACTCTGAGGCAAGCTGCCCTCCCTGGTGACAATGTGAGCTGGTACGACACTGTGCTCCCTTTATATAAAGTTGATGCCAGAGGTAAGCAGCTCGAGCCCCAGGGTCGGGGTCACCCTGGACTTTCCTGCCTGTGTCCACCCAGTCAGAAACCCTGGTGTATCATGAAACTGAATATCCACGTTGGCACATGACTCCATGACGGGACATGTGAGCACAAATAGTTGAAATTGCTGGAGGGAGAAAGTCAAAAGCACATTGTGCAATTCGACTCTTTGGAATGCCAATGTGATGCATGAATCACCTGACGGGATTTGCCTCAGTCCATTTAAAGACATTATTCAAAGAAACTCTGGGTACACATCACTGCCCAAAAAGGAGAGTTTTCTCTTTCAAAGTTAAACGAAACCCTCAACCGACTTCTAAGCAGGTGTCATGACTGCTTGGGGACGTGATAATCCACGGTGTGTCCTGCCCTTGTGGGTTTTGATGGATATGTCACAGGAAACTACAGATTTGGAAGGAGCATGGTGCTTTGAGACAGAAACCTGGAGTCTAGACCATGCCAAGCCACTTCTCAGGTGACCTTGCACAAGCACTTTTTTCCCTCTATATAACAAAGACTTAGTGAAGACTCTCAGCAGAAAAATAGAATTTTCTGTGGACTATTAACTAACATTGACTTAAATCTTATAAGCTTTACTTAGAAGCTGATAAAGAAAAATAATGCTTATAAGACTCTACAAATTACCATATGTTACTGTATCAGTAAAAGACCCCTGAGAGTTGGAATTTTAATCCCAAAGCAGAAAAGTTTGACAAAGTTAACATCAGTTCTAGGTAAGAGTGTGGGCTCTGGAGGGAGGAAAAGTACGTGTGTATCCCAGCTCTGTCGTTCTCTGCCCACTAGGTCTCAGTAGTTTGGGGCAGATATGTAACTGCTGAGCCTCAGCCTCCATGTGCTCAGAAAAGGGTTCCAGCCAGTTGCCTGCCCCATGGCGTCCTCAAGGGCACGTTCCCACATGCCAGCATCTCTGAAACTGAGACACATCTCATAACTGATGGTGTGAGTCCATGGAGTCTTTCTTTCTTTGTGGTGTGTAATAAAATAATGGAGCATTACTGCAAATGGATAGCGTCTAAGGTTGAACATAGCATAGTAAAGCTACTTTCTGTTTTAAGATTATTCTGAATGACTAAGTTGAAATTTAAAAATTTTCCAAGTCTGAGCAATACCTCAGGAACAAAACAGGTTTGAGACAAATTAATTTTGTAAAATATGGTTTATCAATTCCATTTCTATGTAAAACACATGGGAGAAACCTAGCCAACCAACACGCGGCGTGGCTGTCTCCACATGCAAAGGAACGTCGTCAACCTTGAGCCCGAGAATGTGTTTCTTCTTCTGTCATGTTTATGGTACTTGTGTCTCCTTTCCATCTAACTGCCTGAAAGTTTCCACATGTACCCACTGTTTTCTTCTGTCCCCGTCATGGCACCAGGACAGCGGGGAGGAGGTCATTGAGAACAGCTCTCTAAGCAGCTTCCTGCTGTCCATTCTTCCCTGTTGAGTCCGTGGGGGCCAGGGACCTCACCACCCCCAGCTGGGGGAGCCTTGAGAGCAGGCTCCGACTCTTCCTCCCCAGGCACTCTGAGCTGTGAGTGATGGGGAGCCAGGCACCTCGCCACTGGGCACAGAGGCCACCTGTGTGTGGCTTCTGCAGTGAGTCCTCGGACATCTGTGGACATGGACACAGGATGCTGTAGCCGTGGTTTTCCCTGGGACCCCCCGCCATCCTCCCCTGCTCTGCCCACAGCCAGGGTCTCCCCTGATGGCCACCACAGGGGGCCAGGCAGACCTGGGTGCCAGTGCTGTAATCTTCCTGACATTCATTTTCTTCTTTGTTAAATAGTACTGATAGTTCTTGAATTTTCCATCACACAGGGGTGCATGAGAATCAAAGCAAATAAAGTATGTGACAATATTTGATAAGTCTAATGCATGTGGATATTGTCGTGATTACAATAATTATAAGACACTTTAATTACTATAGAAACAGAAGTTTCTTGGGGGGAAAAAGACTTGAAGACACAGGGACAAAGGTCACTGTGCAGAGAACTGGGGTGAGTCACAGAGGCAACAGGAAGGCCGTGAGGAACACTGTCGCCCGCCATCTTCAGCTGCTTTTTAACTGAGCACCTGAGCGAGTGTCTGAAGAGCCTGGAGCCTGGGGAGACCCAGAGCACAGGGTGGTTGTCTGCCTCTTGGTGTTGTGCAGCGTCTTCCAACAGCGGAATGTAGAGGGCAAGGGAGGCCAGCTCACCTCTAAAGCAAGCCACCCTCTCCGTAACTAGCCCACCCCACAGCAATGCCACAAGTCACCTCATTAGGCTCCGCCTCCCAACACTGTCGCCTGGGCCATCACGTTCCCTGATAGTTGAGGTTGGGGGACGCGCTCAGGGCATCGCCAAGGCTGACACTGAGCAACGAGTCACACTGAGAGCCAGTGAAGGAGCCTCAGGGGGCGACGGCAGGCAGAATGTGGCCATGCAGAGCTGCCGAGGCCAAGGAAGCGGAAGGGGCACAGAACCCGGGCGGCAGTGGGTGGAGGCCGAGGCCACAGCCAGACGGGAGCCCCAGGCTGGCGAGGAGGAGGCACGGCTGTTTCCATCAGCTGGACTTTCTCTTGGTCTGGAGGCACATTTACCTGCCTCTCGGTGTGTCCCCGTCACTGTGATTGGATGTTTGCCAACATCAGTGCTCATATCTGGGTTCCTAACTTCCGGTAAGGAGCTCTGTGCTTGTTCTGGAATTTGGTTCATGTATTTGAAGGCCAACATTTCTTAGTACTTTTTTTTTTTTTTTTTAACTTTGCTAGAGTGGTTTAGTGTTGGTTTCTCCAAAGGTGGCTTAGCCCTGGGCCTGTCCTGGGCCTTCCTCAAGCCTGCCCTGCTGTTCCACGCAGGCCCGTGGAGGCCAGCTCCATGCAGGCTCCAGCGGCTCCTCAGTCTATGGTCCTCCGACCGTCATCTTTGCTAAGTAAGTACTTACACTGGTGCATATTCAAATTCAGAGTCTCGGGAAGGAGTGGATGTGGACCTCCTTCTCTGCATGGCTCTTTACTGTCCAGTTCTCTGACCCAAATTCCCTCTGAGCATTTCCTATGCAATGTCACAGTACCCTGGACTCTGGTCTCCATTTCCCCATCCTGGAGAGGTCCAAGTTCTGCTTGGGCTGCCCCCTCCTGGCCATGGTCCAGGCAAAAAGCCCAACACTGAAGATCACCTTATTTGTTTTTTTGTTTTTTTTTTTCCTGTTGTGAGTTCTATTCCCATGCTTCCTTTTTTCCTAGTATCTTTGCACCAATTTTTTTCTAGATTTTCTAGCTGTTTTAGCTGGAGGACTAATCTTGCCAGTTAGTACATTTAAAGTACAAGCAGAAGTCCACTAGGGATGCTAGGAAAAGCATTTTATAATACCAGAGGAAGCAAAATGAGTTTCAGTGGATTTGGGCATAAACAAGAACACAAATCAGGTGAACAGACTTGAGAGGACATCTTCATCCTATTTATTGCTGCTTGGTTATTTATGACTTAGTTTAGACAGTATTTATTAGAGTTAATGTCTGTAAATACTTGGAGCCATACTGGGCTCACAATACTGCAAAATATAGGTTGGCTTAATAAATACTAAGTATAAAACATAATAAATACATAAATACTGACCACACTAGAAGGTTCAGGAAAGTCGGCACATTTATCGCAACTGTCATAAAAGTAGGGTGCACTTTTTCTTGAATGACCCGCTTCCCATAACAGAGTCTCTGTCTACTTTGTTGATCTCATATCTCTACCAGTTCGTGTGGGGACAAGAGCACTAGACCTCAATAAGCAGTCCAACCCTGAAGAGAACACAAATGAAGGAAGAGTCCCCATTACCCATATGCATAAAACCCGTTCCAGCAGGAAGGAGAGAAGAATGAATCAGACATTATTACACTATGTACATATATAACTACATGACCAGCGTGAGTCTACATCATGTACAACCAGAAGAATGAGAAATTATTCTCCATTATATATGATGTATCAACATGCATTCTACTGTCATGTATAATTAATTAAAATAAACTCTAAAAATTTTTTAAAAATTTTAAAAACCCAGTCTAAGATGGAGAGAACTCCTGTATGTCTCCTGACACAGACACTGTATTTCTGTGTCAAGCCCCACTTGAAAGTAATGTTATTTGTTTCCTAGTGAAAATGATTTTGCCTGACTCTGGAATATAATTCTTCTGAGAAATCGCTTGTTATCTTGTAAACTTTAAGGAATGCAAACCAGGAAGAAACAGTTTGCACATGAGAAATTTAAGTAGATGTGCCAACTGGGTGACAGCTGTACCTCAGAAACCTGTCTTTAAAGAAAGTAACAGCTCCACCTGCCCAAATGTAACCCTCACAAAGGGCTTGTGCAGACGTCTTCACTGCAAACAGGAGGTAAAGTGAATCTGGACTTATCACAAGTGACAGAACACTCTTGTTATAAGAGATAATTGAGAATTTATAATTTTATTACAATGAGAATTTTCTGAAGGTCTTACTGTCGTAATATTTATTATACTTATTTTCAGCGTCCTATCCCTTCCCTACCTTAGCAAAATATGAGAATAGTAAAACAAAATAGGGAAAAAACACCAAGTATCACACATTGATGAAAATAGAAAAGTGACATTAACCTAATAAAAGGGAATTGAGCATATTAGCACAATGATGCATGTATTTATCTTTGACCAAGGAATCTCATTCCCAGGAATGGATCCCGCAAAGCACTTTGTACATACACACTTGTTCCTTGCAGGTTTGATGGGGAGGAATGGGAAGGGCCAGTGTCCTGCAATAGGTCTTGCTGAGTAAACCATGGGACATCCTCACAATGGGTCACTTAGGGCTGTGGGAAGCAGCAGGAATGTTTCCACGTGCTTTACTTATAGTATATTTACCTGCTCAGAAGGGAAGTTTTGTGCATGTAAACACACATGTGTATCTATGCAAATGTGTTTGGTTTTAATATTTTAAAAAAGCACCTGGAAGACGAATGGAAGGAAGAGACACAAAAGGCAGGAGAGAAGCGACTCTTCCCTGAGCGTGCTTCACCACGTACATTGACACGAGCTCGTGTGATACTTAACATGGCCTTAAACAAAACCACAGTTAGAAAGGCAATTCTTAAAAATCAAAAGGAAACTGAAAACCATGAAATTGACAAGCTGTTGATCAGGTAGCATGGGCACACAGAGAAGAAAAGCCAGAAGGTCTACTGATCTCCCTACCAGGTTAGATAAGAACTGGGGAAATTCTTTACCTCTTTTCAATAATCATTGTTGGTGGTGATATTGATGTAGCTATTCTGAGATCATATTATTATATTGTGAGTGTGAAGAAGAGTGGCTGAGATAACTCACAATTACACTATCGTCAAGGAGGACTGCTGTTTCAGCCTAGAGAATTGAGATCCAGTGGTGAGCTTGATGAGGTGAGTAAGAACAACAGTTCCAACTTTGATTCAGTCAGCAGCCAGTGTGAACTTACAGTGTACTCCATCCTTGGGTGGTGTGTGGTGGGGGACCGCACATATGTGTAAGCTTTGTCCTCTGAAAAGAAACAGAAATGTGACTAAGTGTGCAAGGCTTGTTCAGGCATACAGACCAGCAGGGTACATGGGAGGGGACTTCCTGGGGGATGGGACCCCAGGGTCACAGAGGCTGGGGATCCCACCACAGTTTGTCTGCAAGCAGGAATCAGAGAAGCTGGTGGTTTGGCTCAATCCTGGGCTATAAAAATCTGTTCAGAACAAATAATCCAGTTCCTTCAACAACCAAAATGCAGAGAGAAAAAAGAGGCAAGGCTTATACATGAACATAGATTAGGAGATAAATCCATCAAGTGCCATATGAGGACTTATGGGAAAATCATAAATCAGACAAAATTTAAGAGAAAAGAAGGAAAATATAAACACCTACTGGGTATTCAATGATTTACAGTATTGCTTTTTTTTTTTTTTTTTTCATTTTTAAGTGTCTTGATAGCATTGAGGTTATATTTCAAAAGAATTCTAAGATTCCACAGGTACATCATTAAATATCTATGGAAGAAATGATGTGACGTCTGAGATTTGCTTAAAAACATTTGGGGGGATGGTATGCCAGGGAGGATTAGGCTAAGCAGGACCTGGACTTTTCCACTCTGTTTTGTGGTACTTCCTAAAGTCCTGTGATGTAGATATTCAAATGGGTAAGGACCTGCTGTTCTAAAATACATGGGGAGAAAGCTGCCTGGGCTCACTTGTAGAAAATCAGGCCCCGGGCTCATAGGTTGAGGTCTGCCAATCCCTGTCTGTTTTTTTTTTTTGGGGGGGGGGGGCTACAACTTACACAGGGTGGATAGCCTACGTCTGTTTCTTAAGGCCGTTGCATTGAGGAAATGCGTCTGACACTCTATCCGTGCACACTGCTGCGACAGATGACAAGAGGGTCTCAGGTACTCAGTTATGTTTGAAGGAGTACTTTTGATAACAGCTACGTTTTTCAGGATTCCCATGTGGCAGGCATTGTCGGCAGAGCTTCAGATGTGTCCACTCATTAACCCCCAGACAACTGCAGGAAGTGGATATGGAGATCTCCTTCTTAGAGATGATGGAACCCAGGCTGGAGCATTAGTTTAACCCCCCCTCCCCCACGGCTGCTGCGGGCTGTTCTCACCAGCAGGAGGCAGAGGGCATCCCGGCCAGGCAGCCCAGGCTCCATAGTCTACTGTGCATTTGTCAGATGCATTTTTATTGGTATTTGTTGTCGATTAATATTGAGTATGCGTATTTAGTTGAAAGCCCTGATAAGATGGATAAAGGACAGGCTCTTGCCAGTGGAGCAGGTGAACCCACTATCAAGCTAGCAATTTGGCTCTCGGGATAAAAACCACCTGCATTAAGAGAAGCCGAGCACTGAGCAGGAGGAGGTGAAAGGAGGGTTAAGGAAGGTGGAGAGACCGTCGCCTTGCTCCCCCGCACCATCCTGGACACTCGGTGGCCTCGCTGTTGTAAGCCCTCTCATGGAACACAGCCCCGAAGTCACCAGGGCATCCCACCATTACGTCCCATCATCCCTCCCCTGGGAGGGCTCACTCCCACGACCAGCCCCAGGAGCTTTTCAAGATGTGATTTCCAATAACAGAGTAATCTTCTAAGAGGATTTGTAGAGAATAAGTGTCTCCACCGGCCGTCATCCATGGGGTCCCGGCACTCCTTGTCAACTGCCGTCACAGGCAACTTCCTACCTGACGCTCCCCTTCGCGAGGCTCCGAGAAGGGTTCCTGCCAGCGGGGACCGTGCAGGAAACAGCTCTGAGCACCTGACTCTTATCTCACTTCCCAGAGCTTTCTTTTACCCTAAGACTCTTCTCTTGCTCATCATTTCCATAATTATTTTGATATCAACTTCTCCCTCATCCCCCAAATCTAATTAGCAAATTGGAAATCTCCTCACACAATCTGGCGAGCTTCCTTCCTTCCCGTTCCCACTGCCGCTCGATTCCGTGGCGCCCCAAAGGGCAGGTGGTAAGTAGCTTTTCAGTCCCCATCACCCAAGGAATCGGCCTAAGGCTTTCCTCTAAGAAAACAGCAACTCCAAGCCTACGTGATGCATGGTGCTGTATTGAACAATAAACCAGAAGAATGTCTGTTAATAATCGACTAAATGTTTAACATGTATCTCTGCAAGATTCTCATGACTGACTGCATTCCTAGATCAATAGAGACTAAAAGGGCACATCTTGCTTCTCTCTCTCTAAAGTCCCATACATAGACATAACCTTTGAATCTGAATAAAAATACAGCAAGTTTCAATTCTGCCTCTTCTTGTCAGGAAACCAGGGAGAAGACAGGTAGAGCCTCCTTAGCCAAGAGGGCTTGAGGTGCAGGGGGACCCGCTGTAGTCTCCAGGAAGGCAGAGCTAAGGAGGGGAAGGCGTGGGGGGCTCACCACGGCCATGTGGTGCTGACAGAGGAGAGGCGTCCTACCGTCTCTGCCCAGAAGGTCCAGCAGCAGTGGCTTCACAGGGGCAAGCTGATACCTGGGGACCGATTCTGAGAAAAGTGGCGAGGAAGTTGCCCAACATGGGGAGGAGACAAACATCCAGAAGGATCCTTATGAAGAGCGTGCCCAGGACTCTGACCCAGGTGACTGATGGAAGGGGGAGAGGTAAATGGGAATGAACTCTGACCCAGGGAAACTGTGCCTGTTTACTGTGCCTGATCTGGAGACTGTACAAAAGCCAGCTGGAATTATGGCTGGAGAGAAACCACAGAGCCACAGTTTTGCCACAGTTATTTAGAGCAAAGAGACTGTCCCATTATCAGTTTTAAGTTGTAGGAAAGTGACCCTCAGCTGTAAATGGGGAGGACTGGCTGTGGTGACATGCACTCTCCTCAGCCCTTGCTACGTGCACTAACAGCTGCCCAAAACCTCTGTCTCAGCTACGGGGACAGGACCATGCCTCCTGCCACCAGGAGGGTGACAGAAGAAAGGCAGTGCTCCTGGGTAGAGGACCTGGGAACCACGGCACCTCCCTTTGCAAATTAATATTTTGTCAGTCATGCTAGTTCCCCTGAATCCAAACAACCCTAGGAACGCCACCGACAAGTTTAATTTCCCAGGACTTCAAAGCTGAAGGCTAGACACCGAGCATGGTGACTTTATTGACACCAGCCAGGGTGCCGGGGAGATGGCCACCGTAGACCTCAGTCTGGTCCAGCACCAATGACGAGGAATGAGCCTGCAGGGTTTACTCTAGCTAGGTATGCTCGCCAAATTCTATCTGCCCTGGGCCTCGGTTCCTCCTATGTAACATGACGGGTGGACCTTGATGTTCTCTGAGGACCTTCAATCTCTGACACTCTGTACTGGAGAATATCATTGACTTCTTTCCCTTTCTTGCTTTTCTCTTAAATGTCAGAAAAGCAGAGTCTGCTGTAAAACTAGACCTTGGGGCCTGCTCTTGGAGTTGACTTACTAAACAAATTAAAGAACTGTTTTCAGCAGATTAATGACGTCCTTCTCCAGTTCCCGTGGGAATGTGGTTTAGTCATGCAGGAGGGAGTCTGCCAATTTTGACATGACGCCTTCTCTCCACTAGGTGAGCTTCCAGGGCGCAGTGAGCCCCTGGCGGAAGCCCCTTTGCCCTGCGTGTACCTGTAAGGCTGGAGATGTCATGAGCGCTTCACACACGCACCTCAGCACAACTCCGGAGAAGTGAGATGCCGCCATCCTTCACGTTAGTGTCTCCTTGTGCAACTGTGTTGTTGGAAACAATCAACCAGTTCATCAACAGGAGCAGCAGTGGTGGGGGGGTGGGGGGCGGTGCCTTCTCAGTACTGATGCAAGAAATGGCATTGCTGTTTACTGTCAGTTTTAAATAGTCAATAAATGTTCTCAATAATTTCCAAATGTTGGTATGTGATTCACTTGCAAGAAAATACAATTTGTAAGACTTATGGGGAGTGTTCCCTCTGTAGTGTTGAGCTTTGATGATTTTCAAGACAATGTATTACGTCTCAGAAGTTAAATCCATGATCATTCCTATGCCTCTGATTTATCAGTTTTAAGTTATAGGAATGTGACTCTCAGCTGTAAATGGGGAGGACTGGATGTCATGACAAGCACAAATTCACACACACAAAAAGGATGCTCACCCAGGTCAAATGGCTGCACATTTCTAAATGTAAAGAATGCCTATTTCTTTGATAATCAACTCAAATGGATTAATAATAATTGAAAGTTTTTCAGTGCTGCAGTATGGAGTCACCTTATCTCTCTACTGAAATCGTTTCCATTTGCGAAGGTGACGCAGCCGAGATGAGCCTGCATCAGTGTCCCGGCCTCCCTGCTCAGAGGTGTTCCTGGCTGAGAACTCTGTACAGGGTTGCTCCACTTTCCCAGAGCACACTGTGCAGGTTCTGAGCTGGAACCTGGAATCCGAAGAATTTGCTGCATTATTCCCCGAATCTTTCCACCTTGGGATTCCATTCTAGTGACTTTACAAACACACCTAATTACTCAGCAGTCAGTTCCCACAATCAGCTTAAGAACATGTTTACTGTAACCAGAGAGGGTGAGAATTTAGTCTTTTGAGTGGAGTCAATTACAGCATCATAAATATGATGCATGTTATCTGAAGTGACCAAAGTGCTCCTGAATATTTGAGCTTCAGAGAATGAGGAGATCCTCCTCTTCCTTCCGATTTTAAATGAAAATATGGGAATATCGGTTTTAAGTTGTAAAAGCCACTCCAGGAAATTTGCTTGCAAATTGTCCCAATTAGAGCCCCTGGCACTGGCTTGTCCTTCCATAGTGTTTAGAGATTGCTTGCTGAATTGACTTGCTACAGGTGCATTTATATCTTTCTCATCTGATACCTAGATTTAAACACCACGGACTTGTACTTCAGCCATACGGTGCTCTTAGCAATGTTTCACACTATAACGTGGGAGAAGATACCTCTTGCTGAAACATCACAGCTAAACAGCAAGAAATAGCAAATTCACATACACAAAAAGGATGCTCACACAGGTCGTCTCATTTGCTATGGCTGCAGGGCACAGTGGGTCTAAAAGCTTTCACTCACGCTTCACTACGGAGAAGCACTGAGGGACGAGGAGTACCTGAGCCTTAGAGAGATGACCTGGGGGCTCATGTAAATGGCATTGCATTCACAGAAATGGATTTGTGCATGGAGTCTAAAAGCCACTCTGCAAGACATAGTCCAAAAATAAACATGCTTTAATACCTTTTCAGATGTGTGTTTCAAAAAGCCTCCTTAGCCCCAAGGCCCTGTGTTCCATTATGATGCAGTTAGGTCCCACCACACTCACCAATTTTATACCAGGAGGATGAAGCAGCACTGTCTAGGGAAGGAGATAGAGGAAAGGGGTTTAAGAACTCCGAATTTTATTCTGGCGCAGATGCTAATTTTCCTGTGACCTCAGCCAAGTCCTATAAATTGTTACTTTCTGCAAAGAGAAGATAATGGAGAAGTCCCTTCCCCTCTCACAGGATAGTCCTGGAGATTAATTAGGCAGCTCATTTAAGATTCAAAGTGCTGTGAGCCCACAAGAAAAGTGCTGGGAAGAACAAAGGAGGGACTCTCCCTTCCCTCAGCACAGTGGGGACCACACCATAGCACACGCGGGGATTCATCAGGTGCCATTACCAGTGTTTGTCAATTAACTGGTGTTAGGTCGTCAGCGTGGGGTTAATGGAAAGGCTGAACTTGCTGAAACGGGCCTTCCATGGTGCACGTGGAGGCGCCAGGTTGCAGGGGCCATTCCTTGAGCACTGAGCTGACGAGTGTGCTGCCACCCTTCAAGCTTTTCCCTCAGATCCCAAGCTGGTGGCTTGGAGCATGCGCATTTTCCCCCCACCCAGTGAAAAACAAGATCTTTTACTTAAGTCTGAAACAAAAACTTTTCAAAGAAGTAAAGGAAGAGAGCAAGTTAACTAGTATGCCTCTGGTAATCATTTGACGGAAGAAGTCCACTCTCCATCCTGAATATTTCCAGGGGATGGCATGTGAATGCTTGCAAGCAAATATGTACACATATGCACATGCACGCGTGCGCACGCACACACACACACATACACACATACACGTGCAGCCAAAGAAGATGACTTTGAGAAACCAGCTCAACCTTCAGCAGACTTCCCAGAGGAGTCCTCAGTCTGCCCCAGAGGTTGCTAATGTGGAACACACAGAGTGAAATCCTGGAATTTTCTAAGCACGACTCTGTGAGAGGAGCCCAGATGAACATAAACCAGTTAGGGAAGCTATGGAAGGAAGAGATATGTTTGTCTTCTTATCAAGGTATCAAGGTATCCTTTGAGGACAAATTTTGCGAGAGCTATGTTGATGAAGACCCAAGGCGCGGCACTCGTGGTCTAACTTCCACCTCCCTCCCTCATGGAACCTGGGTTGGCAGCTTAGCAGGTGCACTAAAAACCTAATGCTTCTAAGTTCTACCACCCTGTTTGAATTTCAGTCCATATAGAAAGTCAGCATGAAAACCCACATTCCAAAAGTCATCATGACTTGAAGGAATGCTGCAATTTGACCTCACCAGGAACATTATTTTTGCGTTAGTCAGCTTTCCATTCCTGTGACCAAATGCCTGACAAGAACAAGTCAGAGGAGGAAAACACTAGTTTAGCTTATGCTCTCAGAGGTTCAGTCCATGGTCAGCTTAGTCCATTGCTCTGGCCCCAGGGGAGGCACAACCTCATGGAAGAAGGGCATGGCTGAGGAGTGCCAGGAAGCAGGGAGAAAGGGAAGGGCTAAGGGCAGATGCAGCCTCCAGGGCAGGCCCCATAGGACCCACCACTCCAGCCACGCCCCATCCACCCACAGTTGCCACTCATTCCGTTCAAACTGTGAGAGACGGAATTGATTACAGCTCACATTATCAAATCATTTTGCCTCTGAATCTTCCTGCACTAACACAGGAGATTTGGGGGTACATTTCATATCCAAGCTATAACATTGTACTCCTAGCCCCCAAAAAGTTCATGCCTGTCTCAGAATGCAAAATGCTTTTAGTCCATCTCCAAGTAGATCCATATTCTTAACAGTTTCAGCATGGCCCCCAAATCCTAAACTGAAGTCTTCTCTGAGGCTCAAGGCAAACTCTGAACTGTGATCCCCTATAAAAGCTATATCTAATGTACAGTGGCACAGAGTAAACCTTCCCATTTCAAAATGGATAAAGAAGGGTA